AGTTTAGGTTTCATGAGCAGCGAAAGTGCAAAATGCCCCCTCCCCGTCGCCGAACAGCGCCCGAGCTGCTTATAAGACTATTTGTAACTCAAAGTATGAAACCAGAAAATGCTTTCTCCCAGAAGCATTCGCGACGTTTGAGGCGAAGAGAGGCCTTATACAGGCGCTCTTCATGCCCCAGAAAATACGGTAGATCTCTCATTAGACATTAATTTGAATTCAAATTTTGACGATAACATTTTTTAAGAAGTTACTGACCTGCAATTGAACGCGCTGTTTATTCGAAAAGCACAGACATTACATCGTGCCGCACCGCCTCGCATTGCCATTGGTCGTACGGATCTAGTCGAAACTCCACGGCGTGCTGGTAGCTGGAATAAATGTCCCATTATTCTCATGCAAACAACTCTTACGACTTCCAGCAAACTTACCGCAAAAGTAACTGGTTCAGCTTGACTAGCTTCATTATCATCAGATGACGATCGCTCACGATGAGCTATGCGCGGTTTGCTGCGAGCTCGTTGGCGGCACGTCGATGGCACGGGAGGATGCCGATGTCGTCGCACCTGAAAAATGATGAATGGTAGCAAATGACCATGGAAGAAGGTGAGGAGCATATTCTTTTTTTCAAAGTCTTTGCAATGAAAGCCAACTCTGAACGGCCTCTTCGGCTTGGGAGGGGCAGGAGGTGCACGTTTACTAGTCCCTTTTGTCAGTTCATGTTAACTCACAAATCTCACTTAGATGAAACCTGCTAACTCCTGTGGAACTGCGAAATGGGGCCAGTGAGCGACGTTAGTCACAGGTATTTATTTAGGAGTCCTCGCGAGGTGGCCTGTTCAAGCTTTGCTGAGTACCACAGGCTGCCCCCACCAGGTCGAACTGCGCCTCTGACCGAGCTATAAAATCGGTCGCTGTCGCCTACCGCCAACCTCGTCGTTTGGTCGACTTTGCAAAGCCACGATCCGCGATAGGAAGATAATGCGTTAAAATGCGTAAGGGAAGCCTCCAAAGAACCCATCAGTGAAGAGGAAATGCGCAAGGTCACGTCAAAAACGCCTCTATAGGACCCCTATAGTCTCAAGCAATTGTACGACACAAAAAGATCCCAGCGTTGGCAGAGTCACTGAGAAAAGGAGGCGCCATGGAG